TTATTGCAAAAAAAAAAATTATTCGTTTCATTAGCTCTGAAGATATGTCGAAATATGCAAAAAATGAAATTACCATTAACAGCTTTCTACCACGTCTGCAAGCAAATTTCAAACCCTCACCAGGTTATGTTGAAAATATGTGAACAGTCCATTACAAAAACGCGAACAATAAAGAAAAAAAGGTTGACCGATGTTTTTCTGCCTAGCATTAAGAACTTTGTGAAATAAACTGGTCTTCAGAAAACTTTATATAAAAGCTGAGTTTTGAGGTTAAAAATCAGACAAACTCGTTTACTTATTTAAAAAAATTTATTCTCTCCTCATTTGTTTCATTCTCTACAAAAATAAACTTACAAAAATCCACAAATGTTTTGGCAAAGAAGAAACACAAAGTTGTTACTCATGCCATTAACTTAATTGTGACAATAAGTGTCACTATAAATACATTTTAAGGCTGACAAAACAGCTACAACATAAGCTTTTCTTTTAACTTGTCAAAAGAGACAATACATATAATAAATTTCATAAAACAAAAATAATACAATAAAACAACAACTAAAATTTCCATAAAATGATGTCCATTGATAACAACACATATCATAATGAAATTTAAATAACAAGACCATGAAATGTATAATACAGAAATTATGCTTTAATTATGCATTTTAATGCTCACTCTTTAAACATATTTGCAAGATGTCAGCAAATACTATTAATTTTAATGTTGAAAACAAAACTGAAAGTTCGTTTAAGCAAACATGCCAAAATGCAATGTGCTATGAATTTGTATTAGTTTTGATCATTTATAATTATGCATAATATAAAAATAAAAAATCTTTGTAAAATCGATAATAGTTCAGTTGATTAAAAATTAAAAATTTAAAGACAATTAGTGAAATTAAAATTAGTAAAATTGTTTACAAGGAAATGTATAATAAACTCAAATAAAATGAAATATTTTTTCATCAATATCGTCAGTTTTACTGTTACAACAAATTAAAACAAAATGAATCATTTTTTAAGTTGAAAAATTTATAATAAAGTTTTTTTTCAATCAATCAATAATGAATTCAGTTCTTTTTATTTTTGTTATTTAAAAATGTTTGCGGATTTATACAGATTTCACCATTTTAAATATTTAATATATATATATAACAGAAATAAGAATCTTCATTTTAATCTGTTGGAAAATTTGCATTGCTTAAATACGATAAAAAGCGAAATTAATGTAGATCACAATAAAATGAAAGGGGAAAAAAAACAGTAACTTGCAATTTTAGATACCATAGAAGTCGTAATTTCATTTTAATTAACATTTTTATTTATTTTTAATGATAATCAATAATAAAAACATGCAGCAAATATTTAATCAAATAATTATAATATATATTCAATCTAACCAACAATTATTTATTCCAATTTTTTTTAACAGAATTAATTCTTAAATAATTAAAATAATTACTAATTAACATTAACATTAACTAAAATAATTAATTAACATTAAAAAGTATGAATTTATGCGAATTTTAACTAATAATTTGAGTTCTAAAAGTTTATTTTTAATATTTGTTCAAGTTCTTACATCATTGTACTTGATAGATTTAAACTAATTTCAATATTTGTTTTCAGTATGACACTAAAAAAATAAACTGTTTATAAAGACGAAAGCAACTCCTATTTTCATTAAAAGTTTAAGTTCTTAAGAAATTACATGAGTTTTAACAATGAAATTCCCTTCTAAATGTAAGAATATTTATTTATTGTATTCGTATAGATGAAAGTTCCAAAATAATTGTTGCTACATAAAATACAATAAATTTGTTAAAGTAAGCATCATTTAATGAGAATATTTAAATATTTCAAATTTCCACGTTAATTATCGAAGTAACATTAAAATTAAGCTATTCATCATAACACAATACATTAGCAACTCCTATTTTTCATTTTAATTGTCTATTTCTTAGTAAATTATAAGAATTTTAACGAAGAATTTACATTTTAAATGAAAAAATATAGATTTCTTGTATATTTTTTCCCGAAATAATTGCACTTCGCTGATACAACGTAATACATTTAAAATAGACTGATTTCAAAATATTACGATTCATCAACTACAATAATTTTATAGCACAAAATTTTTATTTTTCTTGTGAAATTTTAACACAAAATTTGCATTCGAAATACTGACTTCATGTATCCGTATAAATGTAAGTTTAAAATTAATTGTACTCGGTAGATAAAATACAAGAAATTTTTTAAAGTAAAATCATTTTAAAGTGTTTGTAGGCATTATTTAAATAATTTAAACTTATAAATTAATTATCCATCCAACATCAAAATTAAGTTGTTCATTATAGCACAATACAGAAACAACTCCAATTTTCCATTTAAGTTGCTGATTCCTAGGTAAATTGTAAGAATTTTAACAAAGAATTTTCATTTTAAACTAAAGAATGTGGATTTCTTGTATATATAAGTTCCAAAATAATTGCACTTCTGGGATACAAAACAATACATTTGAAATAGAAAGGCTCTGTTGTACTACGAATAATTAACAACAGTAATTTTCAAATAGTTTACGTTTTATGTAATTACCATCAAAAATAATGATATAACCATCATAACATAAAACAAGAGCAATGCGTATTTTTCATTTTAATATTCTTGTGAAATTATACGAATGTTTACAAAAAATTTGCATTCTAAATCCAAGAATATTGATTTCTTGTATCCGTGTAAACACAAGTTTCAAGATAATTGCACTTGATAGATACAACACAATAAATTTGTTAAATTGTCCAAAAGTATTTTTTCTTAGAACTGCAACGGACCTCCTGAAACTCATAAGTGCTGTATACACACAAAAACAATTTACATATTGCCGACTGTAAAGTGTTTCACAAATGTAACATGACGCAGCAATAAAGAAAAAAAAAGAAAGCAAATAACAGCACTTCAAAATGAAATAAAAATATCACAAGATTTCTTTGACTAAAGCAATTGTTAATATTTATTTAACTCGATAAAAATTCATCACAGATCCTATTTTCCAAATACTTTGATAAATGTTATCGTACTTTGAAGATAAAGATTAAAATGAAAGCTTTAGATTGCAAAGAATAAATCTGAATGATATTTCTTTCCAGTTTTTAAAACGTTTAACAAAAATCTTTCGAGATTTTATCTCTGAACTTGAGAACGCCTGCATTCTCAAAATTTATTACTGGGAAACACATTTTTCATGACTATAAAATTTATCTATCACCTACATAAGCTAGTTTCTATAATTGACCTTTTTATATCAATCGATCATATGATTTTTTTTAAATCATGCGGCGTGAACTAGCAATCACTAAGTTGAAATTCAAGTTCAAGTGTTTAGATTGCTATACTATATCAAAACACATTGGCATTGTTACTGGATCAAATACAAAGAATTTGACGTTCATTATATGAATAAAACAAAACAAAAAAAAAACTTTTAAAATTGTTTAATGTGTTGTAACGAAATATCTAAATAGCATCCGAAAATATTGATAGTTACAAATATATTTTAAATTTAACCTATTTATAATATTTTTACATTGGTAAAAATATTCGTTTCTCTAATGAAATTTACCAACATTCACGATTATATCTTAGGGTAAAACTATCGTTATCAATAATCTTTGCGATATTATAGTTTTTATTTATTGTTGCAAAGATATGGGACATGAATTCACGATATATAGTCAGAATAATTTTTCAAATATCTTTACCACGATGTTCACAATATATCGGCATTACATAAGATACGACCCCAGCAGTGGTAAATGTTCTTTTTCTGTAAAAACGATTTATTTAATCAAACGAAGAACATCTGGGATTTCCATTACAGCAGTGTTTCCCAAATTTATGACTTTTGTGTGCCCTTTCTACATTTTTCGTAACGCTGTGTACCACTAATAAAAAAAAATTTTGTATTTTTTACTATCAAAAATAGCACAAAAGTTAAAAATCACAACTGGCTGTTGACACCACCAATTATTATTTGCTAACTCTGCACAAAATAGCCAATAGAAAAATACGTAATCGTAAATTTTCTTGGCTATCTTTGTTTTTAAGTGAAATTTTCGCTTATTGCAAGATATTTTGCATAATAACGCGTACCCCCGGTAAACTGTTCCCGTACCCCTAGGGGTACGCGTACCACAGTTTGGGAAACACTGCGAATAGAGCATTGATTGATGAATACTCATTAATAAATTACGTGATTGCACAGTTAAAATTCTGTTAAAAATAATATTTTGTTTCAATATGTATAGGATATTATAACAAATTCATATGAGCGCCATAGACAAGTCATGAAAAATTAAAATTAACTCATAAAAGAAAATTAATGCTGATGTAAAACACTTTCAATTTTTAACGATAGCAGTTTTTCAATTTTTTTTTAATATTTATCTTTTAGAAAGTTACTTTAGAGCTCTAATTTTTAAAACTTTTCATTTCTAGAAATAACTGTTTTTATTTTTTATTCTGGGAGTGTCCTGTTAATTTAACTGTCGTATTCTACATAGAAAGATCGTCAAATTTAGTTGAAGTTGGTCCAGTAATTTGCTCCTGTAGTAACGATTTAAACCGTTAATTTTCATTAGAGTAGCTTATTAATTTTTTTATTATAGCAACTTTATAAATTTGTCAATATAAACTCGTGGGTACATAATGATTAAAAAATTTTAATAAGTGTTACTATAATGTTGCAATAATTAGAAACAATGTATAGAACTAATTTTTTGTCTTTCTTTAAATTCTAAGTACAGAAAATAAGAAAAATTACTATTTTCCCAGCATAAAAAATTTATGATCTCACTAATAATCATCGTGTAACAAAATAAATTACCCAATTAATATTTTTAAAGGTATATAAATAATTTTGTTTCTGGAACAAAATAAAAAAAAAATTCATATTTTCTTATCACCTGCTACCAAATTTGTAAAATATTTAAAACAAAAACAGTTTTTAATAGTTTTTTTTTAAAACTTTCGTATTTGATTAACAACATGAAATATTTCAATTATATTTTGAAACTATGAAATCATATCTACTGTCATGAGTATTTTCATGATCTGCATTGAATATTTTTTAAGAATATCAAGGCATCGATAATCTATTAAGCTTTCATTTTATTTATGATACAATTCAAAAATTTCCAAAGCTTTACTAAAGCTTGTAAGTGAAACTGCGATATGTAACAAGAGGCTCTTGAATAATAAAAGCCTAAAATCTAAAAAAAGGAATCTCATTTTCAACTAAAAATTCCTAATGAGTCAGATCTATTTTCACAGAAATTGTACTTGCTTTGGCATCGCGTTTTCTTTGTACGTGTTATGCAACTCAAACTAACAAAGTCAGCACTGTTCACCGGGAACACGTTCGCAAAGCTGCTCCAAATCACAGTCAATAACATTGCTGAAATTACTGCTTTTGGAAAACAGTTACTTGCATCTGCAACATAGCCCGTTAAGTCAGATGAGTTCTTTTTGTTCAAAAAATGAGTACAAATATTTTTTTTATCTGTAAAAAGGATACTTTATTTCCATGAAAATGTTTATCTCACATTTTGCAATTAAATGCTTCATGTTATAATGTGCTGAGGTTAAGAAATACATCAGTCACTAGTACCTTCTTTAAATGCTAGTTAAAAAAGTATCAGGTTTGAAATTCGACCTGATAAGTAAAAGCTCAAAAAATAAAAATGATTTTTTATTTTAAACAAAGGCACTAATACTTTCTCAGTACGGTCTCCATACATCAGACTGCAACGACGACGGAATCGTAGTTACAGGTACAGAAGAATCAAATATGCTCGAACTTGCAGTCGTAACTTGCAACATAGAACTGTAAGTTTGATCACGCAGCATATTGGATGAGGTTGGCGATGAAAAAGACGAAGATAATGAAATAGGCGTCACAGGTGGCGTTGATAAATCAGCATCCAAGTTGTCCAACGAAAACGATGTGAGCATATTTGATGAAGGCGAAGACAGGATATTAGTAGCCATGGATAGAGGACCAGGGCTATAGTCTGTGGGTGATAATAATTCTAAACAAGGCATCTGAAAACCCGATGAAGAAGTTGCAGTAAAGCTTGACGAGGACGAGTACGATGGTAGGGTTGTCATTGCTGAAGCAGTCCGATTCATCACACTAGAAGACACTAATGCAGCTGTACCAGATTCACTAGTGTCTAAATCGAAAGATGGGGTGCTTGAGTAATATAAACTCTGGTATTCTGTTGAAGAACTGAGATTTGAAATGGTAACAGGGAAATCTGAAGACATGTTGGAGGAACTTGGTATTGGATATGGAGATTTAAAGTCTGCTGTGGACAATGACGTCACACTACTAATAACAGGTGGGAGACTGTAATGGAAAGGTTTCTGTGGTTCTAAATCCAACTTTAAAGACGGCTTCACGTCTTCAGATCCAGATACAGTTGAAAGAGGGTCATAGTACAAATCCATTAGCGACATATTGCTCACCAGCTGTTGAGGAGTTGTAGATGGAGTTGTAAATGAACTCGAGCCAAATGGACTGGTAGATACTAGAATAGACATGAAAAAAATTAGTCAAGTATGCTCATAAGAGAAATAGCAAGGGCGTAGTGCGTGTAAACAGAAATTTGAAATTTACCTGTGCTAGATGATGTAACAAGAGCATGCAAATCGGCTTCTGATTGCGATGTGTAGCTGCCTCCCGATACGGAAGACGGTGTCAATTGCGTTGGAAAAAGTGGAACAGGTAAATCATTCCATGGAATTTCAGGAAGACTTGTGGGTTCAGATGTGGTACTAATTGAAGCTCCTGAAAAATACAAGATCCATGAAAAATCAAGTCATTTTTTATCAAAAGTTTCTTTACATAAGTTGGATGGTATTTTAAAAGTCCGTTACTTAGTATTGTTTAAAATATAGTGCATTTAAACTATCAACTTCTACAGGCAGACTAAGTTATTCAACCCAATGAGTTGTTTGATAGAAAGGTAAGGATCTTAAAAATTGTGAAAATGCAATTTTCACAAATGTTATAAAATAATGACGCAATATATAATGCCCCGAATTTATCTTAAATAGATTAGATTCAATAGTTGTGATCAATGGTTCAAATCCAATGGTCAGGACACATTTCTTATTCCTAATCTCACCTTTAAGTCAATTTACCTGTTTTCTAAGAGAATAGATGATAACCAATGCAAAAAAAAAAAAAATCTTTAATGAACAACGCGAAAGTAAAAGAAAATAGGGAAGACTGAGGAGGAGATGGATATATGAAGTTAAAAGAGACCTCGAGATCTTGAAAATACGAAATTGAAAAGCGAAGGTACGAGACAGATTTTCTTTAGAGTAGAATTGTTAGGGAGGACATGGTTAATCATATAACTGTAGTACCAAAGAGAAAGTAAGTAATATAAGATTATATTTCGTATAAGATAATGAATAAAATGTCATTATAAAGTAATAAGTTCAAGTGTCATTAGAAAGCAATAGGTAATCAGGTATCTTTCTTCAGCTCATATACAGACTTGTGAAGAGAGAGATGTGTAAAGAGAAATGCACTGAATTGATGAGATGCACTCGTTATTGATTAAGCAAATATACAATAAAGATAGGCAGAACATACAATATACATGACAAGAACAACTTAAAAAAACCTATACAAACATAATTTATTTAAAAAAAAAAAACTGAAACAGAAGTTTGACGAAAAATTAAGACATCAGCTTGAACTGTCTTTTAAACATATTTTGTTAAGATTAGTTCTAATTTTGTTAATATTATTTTTTTTCTTTCATTTGAATAAAAACTTTATTAGCTAATTCCTACATCAATTTAGGTAATACGATTCCTATCTACTCTGTAACAAAAATTAGTAAACAAAGCGTAGCAACTTGTAGCAAAAGCCCAAGCAATCACATCCGCCCTATGGAGGTATCATTTAGAGTCGGTTCAGTATCCTGTAATTTAGTAGCAAGATGTTGACACATTGATATGAAGTATCAACCTTACTATGCGTCACGGAGGTTGAATCAGGAAAAATCGTTCTTTTTTGCATTTAATGCCGAACCCTTTCTTCAGTGGCGTCGTTTTTCCTGCAATTAAGTAACCTTTTCGGAACATACCAACCGCACGCCACTTTTTGTTTTTGTAAAATCATATTTGAAGTATCATTTGTAGATACACCCTTAGAAGATGCATTTTTTTCTTTCTTTTTCACAATATCCCCACCTGTCTATCATTTATATATATTTTCTTCCTCGACTTCGAAGCTCGTTTTCTTTAGCGATTTTTGCGGTTTCGTGCGGTAGGGCAGTGGCGGGAAAAGAAAAAAAAAATAGAAACGGAAATGGCTTTTTTGCGATTGTTTTTCTCCGTATTCCATCGGCCAGTTTGGAGCCTCACTTAAATAGGCGTTGTTTTATCCGTGGGGGCTGAAACATGAAACGGTTCACTTGTAAGCAAGTAGCAGAGTTGGCTCAGTAAGATTATTATGCACCCTTTAGTTCTCCCAAAAGGAAGTGCCCAGGGAACCTTGATCTTCAAAGAGATGGGTTTATTTTTAGGTATTAAGGGATGTACCCGGATATTCCTACAACATTGTAATAACGACTGCCAGCATTTTCAATGATGGCTGAACTAGATCGGGAAATCATTCATTAACTTGTAGCAATCTAGGCTCTAGGATGAGTTATAAGAATACTTTTAATAACCATTTCTCTAAATACTTGAAAAATAAACTGACCACAGGTAATAACACACATTTTCATTTACTTACTTCTATTCCAGAAATAATGAGCTAACTTTAAGACCTAATGACTATCAGCTAACATGTGGCTAACAACTCTAACATGGAACCTATCAACTAGTGGCTCAGTAAAGCTGTAAATTTCGGTAAAATATATTTTTTTTAAAGAATTACTTCGTAGTTTCTGGTTCTAATATTTGTTGTCACTCATCATTAACGTAATAACTAGAAAAGTTCTATGCAAGATATAGGATTCGTGGAAAATAAATTAAAATTTGTGCAGGAATAGGTATGGACTCTAATATATTTTTACAGCATTAATTTTTTATGTTAATGCCTTCAAAAGAATTTTATTTTATACCTCCAAAGAATTTTACTTTTTTTATTAACAATGAAAGTCCTGAATTCAAATCCGAATTCTGTGTTTAAGATTTGACTGACGAAAAAAATTCGAAGGAAGTTCATGAAAAGGGATATCTTAAAGTAACTTTAATTATCCCCCATTTTTTTTTTAAAAAAGAAACAAATCAGTTACAGCTATTGTATTGCATTCATAACTATTGTGGTAGCTCGATAACAACTTACAATGTAATAACTTTGAACCATATTGCATTCTGAAATAAAATGTGTCAAAACGAAGCACAAAAATTTAATTCAAAAGTTTAATGCACCATATTGCATAGAGAATAAATTAAGAGATAAGTTGACGAAAAAAATTATTACCAGTAACAATACTTTTTGTTCTTCACCTATTTAGTTTATTAGTAATTCTTTTTTTCTCGAGCTTCTAAAGAAGATGCGAAAATTGTAATAATATTTAAAATAGGATAAAAGCATATTTTACTTATGTGTGTTATGTTGGGCAACAGTGCCCAAAACAACCCTTGAGACAATCCCGCTTCCTTTAAAGTTTAAACCATGCAGTAAAACATTTTCTGATATCACCAGCAATGCTTACTGGAAGCAAAGGTGTAGTAGAGGGGATAGGTCAATTAGTGATACCCCATTTTTTCGTCAATTATGACATTTCCAATTAACAGCAATTTTTATTTATCGTAATTTTTTCCTTCATGTCCGTAATTTTAAAATAAAAATCAAACTTAAACTATAAAATTGTTTTCGTTCTTCGTAAGGTGACAAGGGATCGTACTTAATTTAAATTCCCATTGGATTAATGTTATGTATGGATTAATGTAAGTGCCATTGCTCAGTATTGCAAATGCCCAAGTATCACTGATGTTTTTTTTTTAAGATTAAGAGCCACTGTCCGGGATACCCTACGTAGTTAAGTGCCATGCATAATTTATTTATGTAATAAATATATTCTAGTTGTGAATCTAATCCAGATTCCAATATCTCAAATTTAATCTTGGCATAATAAGTTTCATTATATTATTCTTAACCAGGTAGAAGCCCATAGCCAGGATGCTTGATTGTTATTAATTGCACCCTCACTAGTCACCGAGATGTAATTCTGTCCATTGCATATTGAACTCTTTGCAAAACTATCGCACGCCTTCTAGAAGTGTAATTCATATACTGTTATAAATGGGGATAGTAACTGAAGCAAGTACTAAGAGCAGTTCATCACTAACCAATCTAAAAAAAATACTAATGTTCCTTTTTCTTCGAATTTCTAAAAAAAAAAATCCTAAAATATTGTTTCTAAAGATACATGGATGCTCAATGATCAGCTGTCGCAGCGATAAAACTTATCTACCATAACATCATTACTACTCTAAAAATAAATAAAAAAAACTTAGTTATTGGTAATATCAAAAGGTCATTCGAATGTCCTTTTTAATATTTTCTATGAACTACAAAGACAAATAAAACAAAAACCGGTCCCTCGTTAACGCAGATGCTGGGTCCGCACCTGTCGCGACACTGTGTGCCTGATTGGCAAAAAGGATGAAACGGCACGCGTCAGGCGCAAGGACATATTTATTGTTCAAGTGAGAAAAAAAAAATAAGAGACAAAGCTTCAAAAGCTGAGCATAAAGGAGTGGTCAGTGGCTTGCGGTTGAAAATTGAGCTCGCGTGCCCTATGTTAAGTCAAATTTTATCTATTTCCAACTTTTTCACAGAAGCAACATCTGGAAAGCGAATGCTATTTTCGTATGATCAGTATCAAACGATAATAATCTTGAGCCCTAATGTTCTAAAACATGCTTTTTTTTTTTTTTTTTCATTTTTAGAAATTTCTGGGTAAGAAGGAATGGGTCAAATTAAGTAACTTGCTCATGGGTAACTAAAGAAATTGCATTAAAAAAAAAAGGGGGGGGTAACAAAGGATGAAATATTACAATTTGTTGTACACAAATGAAAATACTTAAAAGCATGCAATTTAATAATGTAGTTGATAATGTTATGCTTAAAGATGGAGAAATGGAATATAATACAACGTTATAAATTAAAAATTATTTGAAAAGTGAAGTAAATTAATTTTTCGTCAAAAACAGATATATCAGGAACACAGTTACCAGTTTACATTGTTTTTCTTTCTGTATCACATAGTAAAATTAAAAAAAAAAAAACCAACTAAGAATACTAACATTTTAAAAAAAGAAAGAAAAATATATGCGTTTACTTTAATGTTCTATTATGTTCTGTATGTATGTATGTATTTAATGCTCTAATCCATTTAATGCTCTAATCCATTTAATGTTCAACAAGAAATAAAATTTAAAAACTCTCGTATTTAGTTTACCTAAATTTAATTACCCTAGTATCTCTATTAATAGATTAAAAAATACCTATAATAAATAATATTAATATAATATATAATAATAATATTAATATAATAAATAATAATAATAGGAAAAAAAGCGTTTACATAAAATAATATGTTGAAAAATTAGAAACCTCCAATTCTTAGTATTTGATCAGATTTGGGAGAGAAAAAAACTTATTGATTAATATTTGGATTTCGAATGATAATATCAAAAATGTTCGATATGTAAAATTACATATACCATTATCAAGTTTAATAAAAAGAAAAAAAATATCTTGCCGGAGAACAATTATTTAAAAATTAAATATGCTATATTAAACCTAAACTTTTAAAAAAATTATTAACATCCATTAAATTAATTAAATATTTGTTTTTGAATTTCAGAAATAATTAACTATTTTTTTCAAAAAAGAAAAAATATTAAAAAATTTAACTAAAGGGTTGATTTTTGATTACTTTTAAACAAAGATTTAAGACAACCTAACCTGAAGTAATGCGTAATAGAGTAATTTAACTTTTTAATAATTGTTGAGTTTATTATCGCATAAAATTACAAGCAAATTTTAAATGTTATGCCTATTCATATATCTAGCGAAAAGGGAAATAAAAAAATATAGTGAAAACTATCACGTGAAAACCAAATTCAAAGCAACTGAATCAGAAGGGGGAAAATGAGTAATAACATTCTAATTAATAATTCCAATTCTCTAATAATTAATCCTCTGATGTAATAGTTTCATTAAAGAAATAGTTGTTCTTTAGCATCTTATTATAAATAATACAATTTAATAAGAAAACTTCAGATAAAAAATTATAAGAAAAGCTATATTTTTTCCAAAATTTTTTAAACTTCTGCTAAGATATCTTTCTCATCATCATATACACATTTACCGAAAATACAGAAAGATAACCGTCTATTAAACGAGTACATCCGTGTTTTCAACTGCTATTTCCGGTATGTTGAACCAATAGAAGAAATCTTAGTCAATTCTCAGTGTGGAAGCGGTCATCTGCATTTCAGAGAAATTATTCCACTCCGTTAGCATACGATGATCGACCTTTCGCCAAAAGAATAAAATAAAAAAAGGGGTAATTGACACACCCAAGAAAAAAGGTCGCCAAGAGCAAGATGATTTCTATACTGGACAGCTGACTCACTTTTGGGTTACAGGTGAGGAAAATCACCAAGGGAATGAGGATAACAAGTGGCAATAAGTCCAGTGGCGAAAAAGTTTCTTGGAATTTGCTTGCTTGATTGGCAAGAGATTACTTTCCATTTTGAGATATCTAGGTCAAGCAGGTGGGTTTTTTACTCCCGGACTGCGAGAGAAATTGCATGGATTATGAGTACGGCTTATTATTCAGTGAAAGAAGGAAAATATAAATGATTCCTAACGAATCCTTAATAATAAATGGATATGACTCAACAAGTTTTATTTTAAGATTGATTTGATTCCTTTCAAGTAGTTCATTAGCATTTTTTTTAACTCTTACGACGAATTTAGCTGCTAATTGTTTTATACATGTGATTGCTTTATTTTATTATTTTCGCAGAGTAAACGATCTAATCTACACAATTTTTATTCATAAGTTCACATCACACCAGGATATACCATATCAGATTCTGAATGAAGAGTCACATGATGGTTATTTCTCACAGACGATCGAGTTCAATTTATAATTTATTTAGATTTCAAAAAATAATAAAAAAAATAAAAAAATGAAGTCAGGCATATAATGTTTTAAAGAATTACAGCTTTTGTTATTTAAAAGTGATTAAAAGAATAATTTTAAGACAACTGCTCCAAAAAATCATGAAACGTTACCGATCCTTTCTGAATAATGCAAATGCAGTTAATTTCATAAATTAGGAAATCATATTAATATTTATTTTAAGAGATTCCTCTTCATCTCAGTTGGGTTTAAAATTACAATTTAACGGTAGAAAAAATGAAAGAGAAGATTTTAAACCCAATATTTTTATTTTAAATTAATATTTCTGCCACTATTTTTTTAAACTAATACCCTGCGCATAAATTGTATAAATTGATGACTAAAATCTTCCCGAATTTCTTACTACAATGGAAAAGTTGGTATAAAATTTGGTCTCAAGTCAACAGAGCATTTAAAATTTAATGCAAGATGCAAATAATAAGCCTTATTGAGAATAAAATAAATTTATTATGTCTCAATCGTTGTTTAAATGGATTTATAAAGTAATTTCAAATTTTAAGTTAAAATTTAGACTTAGGTCTAATCGTCATACAGTTTAGTTTATATAGTTTAAATTAAAATTTATGTCTAATTTGAATTTGTATAATAATTTAAAATTTTAAATTAATACTTCTGCCACTATTTTTATAAACTAATATCCTGCTCACCAATTGCATAAATTGATGATAAAAATCCTCCCGAATTTCTTACTCCAATGGGAAAGTTGGTATGAAATTTGGTCTCAATCAAGAGAATATTTAAAATTTAACGCAAGCAACAAATAATAAGTTTAATTAAGAATCGTAAAAATAAAATTAGAATGTTTCAATCGTTGTGGAAATTGATTTGTGTAATAATTTAAGATTATTTGAAATATTAAATAAAATAAAAAACAAAAAAAAATATTAATTTACAATATAGAGCAAATAATTTTATGTGATTTAATTGTTATAAATCTTTATTACCTTAGGCAATCTATTTGAAATACATGTATTAGAACGATAGTAAATTGTAATAGTACATGTAGATAAAAGAAATCAATATTGTAAAAGATTCACTAAATATACAGCTTCATAGATATATAAATATCTAGTTTCGACCTTAATCAAAACATAAAAATATTAAAAAAGAAAAAAAAACCTTTTTCTATAACAAAAAAAAAAAAAAAAAANAAAAAAAAAAAAAAAAAAAAAAAAAAAAAAAATTACACAGTGTGTTTTTGAAAATTAGAATATTAATTTAAAAGAAAATGAATTTTTTTTTTCTTTTTCTTTTTAGTAAAGAGGATTTTGCAAAATTGACAAAAAGAACTCCTTCTCCAGAACAAAAAAAAAAAAANAAAAAAAAAAAAAAAAAAAAAAAAAAAAAAAAAAAAAAAAAAAAAAGAAAAGAAAAAAACTAATTACACAGCATATTTTTGAATATTTAAATATTAAATTAAAAGAATTGAACAACAGTATTTTTCAATGAAGTGACAGAAAGCAGTGCAGGTAACACATAGTAAAAAAATATATCTAAATGCGAAGTCAAAACATAAATATTTATGAAAATTAGGATGATAAAGTAAAAGTTTCAACAGCATTTTAAAGTAAAAAAGTTAGTGTAAGAAATTAAAAAAAAAGAAAAAGAAGCAAGTTTTTTAGAATATATTCGACACTAACAAAGTAAAAAATGAACAAGATTCTTTTAAAAATAACAGTGACTTTAAACAATGAAATTATCTGTCAATTTTTGCTCCACCCCTTATCAATCAAGTCCTTCTGAAGGTTGCGATCGGTGGATGATTCAAGTATTAAATGCGTGGGCTGACATTACAATGCATCGCTGACCCACGGCCCACAAAAGTTTGCATGCCGGATATGACATACCGCGTTCCGCTCTTCTCTCTCGTTTTGATCATCGTTTGTTTTTCTCATTTTCCTGTTATCTTCATAAGAGTTTGTTTGGTCTTTAACGAGATTGTGTTATCTCGCCAAATAGGAACAATACAGATAAAAAGTCGCCAACATTTGAAAAAAACAAAAGAAAGGGGAATTTGTTTAGTTCTCTTTTTCATTTTAGCAATGTTTTATTTTATGATTTCGGAGAAAAAACTGATAGAGTTGTAAAATGACATTTATAAGACGTAATAGCTAGATAAATATTATACGGAACACTACTATGAGGTACTAAGCATTGGAGATGTGGTTTTTTAAATGAATAAATAAATTTCATAAATCATTTCTTTAGTTATGAAAATAACTAAAAAAGAAGAAAACTAGAAAATAATTAGAAAAACATTAATCTTATGTTTTAATATTTGACGAATATTTATTTAAAAAGAGTTTCGCCAATTGCAAAAAAGTTAAATTTCTTAGGCATTTTTGTTTATCATACTTCTTTTATTTCTATTATTGCGTCTTTTTCAACTTTCAAAAATTTATTTAAATATGTTGGAAATTAACAAAGCAGAAATGAGTTTAACATAAAAGTTACTTAGTGTCGTGCTAATTGTGCCACTTTTAATGTTGAAAACTTACAAATTATTCATTTTAATCACCTCTGTTATATAAATTATTATTAGTTGTAATAGACTACAATCATAGAGGCACCGCACAGCACATAGAAAAACAGCTAAAATAATTTGGTGACAGATTGAAATCCTGTTTTGGATATACTGTTTAACAAACTTAACAAAGATAATTTATTTTAACTACTTTTGGGGTGGGAATTATTATTTTACTGTAATATTCGAAGTGATTTTGTTAAAATGTATATTCTAGAGTATGCTAGGCAAAATTTACAAAAAATTTTTCTTTTAACGCTTGTTAAAATAAATTAAGTTCTCATCAAAATCCAGTTTTGGAAAAGATTGCAGAGCATTTTGGAGAAGCAATCACACCATTATAATAATTATTCAAAATATGATTTAACTTATACATAATAAATAATGGATCTTACCTGTTGTAGTTGTAGTGGGTGTTGTCGTCACCTGAGGTGGGAGTTCGACAGGATTCCACTGTCGCTCTTTTTCTTTTTTAGGATAAGGATCCCTCCAAGAAGATTCGGGTAGAAGCATAGGGAGCGGGGGTGGTTCAGAGCCACCTCTAAAGAGTGAATCGACGTTTGGAGAACTACTTCGACTTCGACTACTGCGAGAAGACACACTTTTCATCTGTACATGTGGAAAACCTAAAAAAATTTTAGAAAAAAAAAACATTGAAAGGAAATCTACCCATTATAAAAAATTTAAACTACTGAATTAGAGAAAAGGGATTATTTGCTGAATGAATCTCTTAAAACAAAAAGTTAATAATTAAAAACCTACATTAATTAACTAAATAATTCTTACACAACAGTTCTTTCATTATTAAACCGAATCGGTTTAATTGCATTACAAATTACATTAACACTTCTTTATTACAAAGATTTGCAAATTCTTAATTGGTGTTACAATAAATATATTAAAAATAATAAAATGCTGCAGCAATACCATGCATGAAGTTATAACTATTGCGAGACTATCAAAAAGTTCAATATTCTGTCATTTTTTATTTTAATTAAAAATTCTAATTCCATTTTGTAAAAGAAAACAGAACGCTTTTCATTTACACCACTTGTTCTATGTATGAGATCGTAATAGCAATTTGAAATTCACATCGTTTTCTTTTTAAAATGAAACGAGACAAATTCTAGCTTATAGCTCACACACAATTAAATAATGTTTTCTTTTTAAAATAAAACGAGACAAATTCGAAATTATAGTAACGTGTTCATAATTAATAATAAGATATTTTTAAATAATATAAGGGATTTGAAAAAGCGAGAAAGGACAAATGGGACATCCTGACAATTAATTATTTTAAGTTAATAGTTTGAGTTTTGTGCAAAATTTAAAATTTTTGTTAAAATTACAAATGAAGAATTTCGTAAAGTTTAGTTTTAGAACAACAATTCAGATTTTAAATTGAAAGTGAGACCAGCCACGTGACAGCAAAATGACTAATGTAATCTTATCTCAATTGCAAAAGGAACTCAGAAAAATGAAATTAAAATAATTATTGTTCTCTTGTGCTTCGAATTGTCCAACACAAAAAGAATTTTAGGTAATAGAGAGAACTGAAAGAGAAGAAAGGTTAGGTGTTTAGAAAGCGTTTTACAAAGACCAGCTGTTCAAGGTTAAAAACACCGAGGCAGGTGGATTTTGAAAAGGATAAAGTAATCGAGATAGTCAAAAGCAAAAACATACACAGTTTATGGACTCACGGATCCCCTTAACTTTTCAATTCGAAATAACACAAAGATTATTTCGAAGCATCATTTTCACAATAGAAGTTTTCTTAAAAGAGTTGTAAAAAATGAAAAAATTATGAGAAGAAAAAAAAAAAAAAACATTTATTTAACCAAAAAGCACACGGTGAGGAAAATCGGTAATATTCTTTTCGTCTGTTTTGCTTACATCCTTGTAATTTAGTCTGTTACGCTTACATCTTCCTCTCCCCAAAGTGGATATTATGTAAATCTATTTACATTATTCCCATACACGCATCTAACTGAGAATTATAGTAAATAATTATATTAATTTATTGCCATTCATTTTTGGTAAAAGAATGGGATAAAAATAGTTATTAGAGAGAGTTACGTGTTTTTCTAAGAAATGAAATACTTTGGCATGATTTATGTTATTTAATTTTTAAGAAAAGAACAGGGTGAAGGTGTTATTTAAAAAGATTTATTTATGCAGTTTTTTAAAATATAAAGTATTTTTACAGGAATTATACTGTTTATTTAATTAAGACCTTAATATTTTTAGTTAAAATCTTAGTTTGAAAAAAAGAGAATTATTTCAGTAAAATTGAAATGAATTTTTTAAAATGAATTTTAGCTTTAAATTTTGAATCATAAAAAAAATAAAAAAATAATTTTAATTGATAATAATAAAATAAAAAACATTTTTCGTCAAAAAAAAGTACTACGTCTTAATTTTGAGAAAAATATTATTTTAAAGTAAAAAAATCTGATTATGTCAAAATTTGATTCCGTAAACGAAGAGTTAAGATAGCCATTTCCGTAGCTTGTAATTTTTAAAATGTGTTTAAAAAAACAACATTACCTGAAAAAAAAAACTAAAAATTCTAGTCATGCTTTTTAACTGTAGTTAAAAATCTAAAATTTAAACTCCCCAAAAGAAAATATGTAAATTGAGACAGAAAATGAAATAAACAATTCACACATTATTCCCTAAAATACAAGTGTTGAATTTGAAAATACTTTTGGTATAGAAATAAATATTAAGATCTGACAAACGATTTAAATTTAATTCAACTCAAATTAATATTGCTCAACTTCCAGAGGAAGTAAAAATCCCAAACATTTCAAAAGTGATTTCAAAATTTCATCAAACATAGAAATCATTGCATTTGCTTGTGGTCAGGTGAACTTTATTAAACATTTCTTCTTATATTAGACATAATTTAAATGATAGACTAATCACAGTCCATAAGACCACGAATATTCAACAAAGATGGCACTAAAGACAGGAAGACACCGCGCCAAGTCTTACAAGCCAAAGAACGATTCCCGGAAGATGACTTGAATTAGTATCTACATTGCAATGCATGCATAAATAAAATTCTATTGGGAATGCCAAGAAGGTAGTTTTAAACAATCAACACATGTAGCCTAAGGCGACAAAACTGCAACATCCACAGCGAGGCGGCCTCTCTATAAAAGGACGTTAAAGGCAAGGCTGTTATGAAGTCATTTCCGGCGAGCAAGATGCTTAGGATTCCAGCCCACTTTTTTACATTAAGAAATTTGCGGGTCGTTTGAGCCGAATTTCACCTTAATTCAGGTAGTGGGGGATTGCATGAAAGTGAATGTGAAGGGCAGTTTTACCGGTTAGCGGTAAAGGTGTGGAGGAAAATTTTTGAAGGTAAGGTGGCCTTGCACTTGGGTGAATTTTTGGTAAGGTTTTCGCGGAAAGGACAGCGCAGGGGGTAGCATATTTTGTGTGTTGTCAAACAAACGATAAATTAACTGAAAAGCGTTAAGTGTTTTCCGTTATGGTCATATACAAATGATATCCTCTTTAACTCTTATGTCCAACGTTTATCTTTAAGAACTGTATGAAAGTCAATTTCAGTCTATATCACTAACAAATACTTTTGGAGTAGTTTTTATATTATTTTATTGATAAATATATATTTTATGGAGTTACGTTACTAATTTTTTGTATTTAGAGCTTTAAGTGATTCTTAACGTTCTCAAATTTTCAATAAAGCTATGATATTAGAATTTAATAAATTCAGGAATATTTAGAGTGTTGAAAATTTTAATTTCATAATTAAGTTCAATAAAATAGATTTTAGACACTAAAAGGGAACACAAACTATTCAAAAATATAAATAAGTGACTTTATAGATAAGGAATTCATATGTTGACATGGGAGGTGAAGAAAATATATTCTTACTCCAGGGACGCCGATGGGACATCGCCCCCCTTCTTAAATATATTTTTTTCTAGGGTTCTAATTACAAGAAAAAGTTTATTTTGATGGGTTTTTTGTTAGTGCTTTTTTAATCTTAAAAAATAGTCTTAAAGTTATTAAAAAAATCTATTAGATTATCGGATTAATATTTGTACTAAAATATGAAATCTAAAAAAAAAAGTAGTTTGAAATTTTTTTTTCATTCGTATTCAAAAATGTATCAATAATTTATTTTGAAAATTTAAGATATTTCAATAATGAGTAATTGTTTCTCTTAGATCTAAATAACTGCAAATAAGTGCGAATTTGAAATTTTTTTTTGTTGGAAGTATGCCGTGCTTAGAAAGTTTTATCTTAAACACGAAAAAAAGACATCTGTGTTTCATGCTATATTTCATAATTATAAATTATTAAAATGCTGAATATAATATTTTTAACTTATTTTGATCTAAATTAATACAAAATAATGAAAAAAACAAGAAAAATATATTTTAATAAAATCTTGAAAACACGGCTCACTGATGACAACAACAATGAAAATAAAGTTTTTTCAAACTACTTTTTCGGATTTAATATTTTAGATTAAATTTAATTCTGATAATCTAACAGATTTTTTTAGAGACAATTAGACTGACTTTTATAATTAAAAAATAACAAAAGATATTTTTACTTGTAATTAGAGAGTTAGGAAAAATATATATATAAGGTACACCAGTGTCTCATTTGCATCAAAGGATTTAAACATTTTAAGGACCAACTATTAAAATAATGTGTGCTTTTAAATTTAGAGAATTCATAAAAAACTAAGCCGATTTTTTAAAATCAATATAATAATAATACATGTTAGTAACAGTCAATTCAAAAAGCAAATTTCGAAAAATCTTTATAAAATCCAATCCAATCATCGTTTTAAAAAAAGGTTCACTTGCATCCAAGTTAAAATTTTTACATTTGAAATAAATCACGTGATTATGAAATAAAAATTAGAGATGATGAAGTATATGATTAGTTTATGGTGTGCGGCATGATCATATTTGTTACTCAAAGTTTAAACTAAAATAAATTAAAAAGATAAATAAAATCAAGCAAAAATAAATTAATCAATATATACTTAATATATTAAAAACAGCAACAAAAAATAAATGCTGCTTTCTCTGATTAAAGATTCGGATATGGAAATAACAATTTTAAATTATCTCCCATAAGTTTTTCTTAAAAGAAAAAAAAAGCCACAAAAACATTTCAGAAAAAATGTAAGCAATTATTAGTATAAATAAAATAAATAATGAAAAAAAAATGCACACGAACATATTTTGCAGCTTAGTCAGTCTTTTTATCTAATTTTCCATCAAGTTGATCGGGTAAGCTAATTTTCTTGAAAGGTAATATTGTTCAAGAGCATTTCTCTCCTTTAAAAAAAATAAACTTACAACAAAAAAAAATGAGTCAATAAGCTTCCGCCCTTTGTCATGTAACAAGGACGATGAATCGACCACAAAAAAAGGAGCGGAGCTTTTTTAAATAAGGAAGAATTAATACAACAGCTTTAGTGGCATAAGGAAACGAAAATGCAAATTGGAATTTTGGATATGGTCCCCGAAATGTTTAAGTGATGACACGAAATTTCCGCAACTTAACTCATAAGCGGGAAATTAGAAGTATGAGATTGTTTTCCGCGCAAATCATTGCTTTACTGTTTCGC